AGAGCTGTATTTACTATAGAAACAAGACCTTCTAAGACTATAGAAATAAGACTATTCTAAGCGCTATATTAATCTATTATTACTTACTTCCGCGCCTTCTACGGTATCCTTATTACTAATTGCTTAGCCGCTCGCCTCTTCTATACGCCTGCTAGCACCTTCTTAAGCAAGACCTTCTTAGTTAGCTTCTTCTAGCGCCTTCCGCGGCCTTTCGGTAGTAACGATAGCGCTAGCGGAGCGCTCGAAGGTAGCGCTAGTAGAGCGCTTAAAGGTAGCGCTAGCGGAGCGCTCGAAGGTATAGTTATTTAAGCGGCTAGCGGTGCGCGTAGTTAAGTCGGAGTATTGTCTTCGGCCGGAAGGCTGCTACTACGAGGCCGCGGCGCTACGGTAGTATTATCGTCGTTATTGTTTTTACTCGAGAACCCGTTAAACTCGTTACCGTCGGAAGAATAGGAATACTAGCTATCGCCGCTTAGTACCTCGCCTTTAGAATAGCCGTAGTCTAAGTCTTCTATATTGCTATAGGTATTAGTAACGCTATAGCAAAGCTTAGAATAGGGATTGCCTCTCTTCCGGTAAAGATAGGTATTATTATTACAACCCTTTATATAGCGATAGTTAGTCGCTCCGTTAAGTAGCACCTATGCCTATCGCTTCGAAGCTAGCGATAAAGTAATAACCTTGTCCTTACAACCTTAGAATACCGAGAACGGTAAATAGTACTTTATAGGTTATAGGTGTCGGATATAGAAATAGCCCTTAATCTTGCCCTATAGTGTCTGTATCTTATAGAGCGACTTAGCTACGCTATTGTCGTCTTTAAATTGCGAGGTAAGCTATCTAATAACTATACGCGGTCTATTAGTAACGCGATATCTCTTCGGAATCTCGAGGCTAATAAGGTTACTAATATTAAAGCTATATCGCTCTTGCCTTCTACTATAAGAGCGGTCTACTTTAGCATTCGCGGAAGCCTAGTTTGCCGAGATTAAGTCTATTAGAATAGCGTAGTTCTTATCGATTTTAATAGACCTTCTAGCACTCGAGATATAGATAGAGCGGCGGCTATATGTCTCTTTAAAGTAAGGTACGTCGACGCGGCGTACACTATATACAATTAAGGCTTCTAACTCGGTAGCTAGATAGCGGTGCTCGTCGTTCTCGAAGTCCGCAATATCGTTATTAAATTCAATATTATATACGTCCGCTAAGGTCGTAGAAACGGTAGTTACGGAAGCCGTATCGTCGTCGTTAGCTATCCTAGCAGCAATCTCGTTAATAGGTTATAGGTCCTTGTCTTCGAAGATTAGGTTAACGTTGCCTTTATTCGCGAGCCGGCGGCACTCCTCGCTAATAAATAGCTAGTTAGCTAGAGGGTTACGGTTAAAGAAGGCCTTAAAGGGTATTATTTTAATAGCCGAGTGCTAGGTTAGGTTATAGATCCGTATAGCCTCGTACGTCGCTGCAACCTAACCCTTTAAGCCTTTCTCGAGTTTAATAGCCGCAATGCGCCTCTTAAGGATACCGTTAGCTTGTTCTATAAGCCCTTATAATTAAGGATAATAAGGTACGCCGTAAGCTATCTTTATACCGAAGGACTTAATTAGCTTCTTAACAATACCCTTAAACTCCTTGCTATTGTCCATTTAATATAGCTCTATAAGGCTAATAAAGGAGGCGAAGTCCTATATATAGAAGGCAATTTCCGAGGAGTCCTTAGATACTAAGCAATAGGTCTTTAAGAACTTAGTCTTATAGTCCTTTATATAAAGGACGTACTAGTATAGACTATTAGGCTCCGTTAAGAAGTCGATAAGGTCTATTTAGATACGACTAAGGACCTTAGAGGTCTTAATATAGTCTAGGGGAATTCTCTTCCTATCCGAGGGCTTCTATCGTAGCAGGGAGTACACTCTATAGTACTTAATTACCTTATCGATATCCCTCTTTATAATACCTTAGAATTTGAGGTTAACAAGCGCTTAGACAGGTCTACGGCGGCCGTATACAAGGCCGCAATGCTCCGTAGCAAGGACGTTAAATATCTCGTATTCCTAAATAACCTATATTAGTAGCCCTTCCTTCTTAACGTATATAAGCCGACTGTTCTTATAATCGTATATAAATCTTCTTAGTGCCTATTTACGCTCTTAGTACTCGGTTTTACTAATCTTAGCGCGGTTTGGAAGGTCTTTAAGTAGTATTATAACCTACTAAATAAGGCGGAGGTATCGAGAACGCATATACCGCTTCCTAGTAGTAGTAGTAGTCCTAGCAAGATAGTTGTCGAATTTGACCCGTACAGAGGCATCAAATAGCTCTATAGCACGCTTACGGTCGCTAGTTAATATAGGAACGATAGTCTAAGGTATAGGAGGTCGAGGAATCGGCCTAATAGGCGTATTATAGTTACGGCGGAGGTTATCGAGTCGTAACTCTAGTAAAAGCGGTCGTAGAATAGGTATAGTTATCGCTATCGTAAGCTTAATTCCGGCTTCGAGATTTCGGAGGTTGTCGCTTTATACTATAGTGTCTAATAGCCTTTATTTTATAGTACGGAAAGTAGGATATCTTATATAACGACGTCCCTATTAACCGAGAGTGTATTACTTAGTTATAGTAGTATTCGAGAGCGTAGCAGCTAAGTCGAGAATCGGCCTTAGCGCGCTTAGCAACTACTAGATTACTACCGAATTTGCCTCGGAAATTGCACTTCCGCTACTAATAACGCCTAGCACTACTAATAACTACTATTTCTACGCCTAGCACTACTAACAACTACTATTTCTATACTAACTAGGGGATCAAATAGCCGCTATTTGATCAAAGAAGGTCTAGACACCAAATAAGGCCTATTCTATTAAACTGTATAACGAGTAGGCTAAGTTTAACGAAATAGGGCCTTTTACGTATAGGCGATAACACCGCGCTTAAGCTCTGTCGTTGTTCTTGCTAGCAACGCCTAAGGATGTGTTTCGTTTGGCTAAATACCTTCGAATGGTGTATGTGTCTAGACTAATCTTATTAACTAGAAGGAGTTCCTGTTATGAATCGTGCTAAGGATACAACTAATTATCGGATTAACAACTATATAACTATACGAAGAAGGATTAGGAGCTAGCTACAGAAACTGCAGTTAATATACCTATTATATGTCCTTCCTCTTAGCATAGGTTAGCTAATGGTATTAGCTAACTAGCATATCACCTAACTGAACTACAACACTCCCCCTTAGGTAGAGATAATGTACTGTTTAGATTAGACACTCTAAATCTAGGCTTAGAGCTTTACTTTATCTTCTAACTGCCTTTAGATATTAGACTATATCTGCTTTATATGCAGCTTCATATACTATACTACTTACACGTGCTTATATTACATTGTTTGCTAATTGGTTTGCTTTAGAGTAATGTCCTTAGTCGTAATTATAGGGTTAGCAGGCGCCTATAAAAGATACTTAAACTTAACTAGACAACTTGAACTTTTACAATCTACTCTTTAGCAATCCCCTAAGTACTAGTAGCCTCTACTAGAATTCAAATTCTTACTAAGACCTTTTAAGTCTAACAGCTAGCCGAGACTTTATTATAGCGATAATTCTTTACCCTAGCCTAGGGAGTATAGCGAGTAGTATAGGTAGTAGTAGCAGCGGCGGCGGTAGTAATGATCTAAACAAGAATCGGCACCCTTCGCGTTATAATAAGCTCTAGTTTATAGAGACTAGTAAGTGTTGCTATTAGAGTTTCCCCTTTCCTAACAATTTGCTAACTAGGCGCAGTCCTTAAGGAAGTTTAGTTAACTGTCGCGATTCTCTAGAGAATTATCTAGTACTTAACTAATATTAGTCCGGAGCAGACTCCGCCTTAGCTACGTAACGTTAATGTTAGGCATTTTATTACGAGCTAGGATAATGCTCGGCTGTTTCTAAGTATGCCTCCGCGTCTACGTAAGGCGGCTAAGGCATTCAATTTAGGCTTAAAATCGAATGTCAACTACTTACCTGCCGCGCTTGTATATACGGCTACTGCTAGACGCGTATATACTAGTAACAGCTAGTGCGGTCCTTACAAGTAGTTAAAGGGTCCGTACTTAGAGTATATAACTCTAAGTTATCGAATTAACGGTTAGGATATCGCTTTCCTAAAGGGCGCTTGCACTAACTGTGCTAGCCTAAATTATTATAGTTAATGCGAGTTCTCTAGTAAGTTAAATCTAGTCTTATGCATTTTTTTGAAGCAAAAACACTAATTCTTTTATTAGGTTACGTCTCTCGGCTACGCTCTAATACGAATCGTTAGGCGCCTATAGCGCCTCTACTGCCTCGCAATCCGGGGAGTAGAGTAGGCACTAATTAGCGTCGTCTATATATGCTAGTCCCGTCTAGCATCGATTAGAGTACTCCTTAGGGCGCCTAGGCAGTAGCAAATTTGCTACTATAGTAGGCAAATGCTTATACCTAGGCTACTGCTTAGGGACGTAGTCGTAGGCTAGGTTCTAGGTTGTCTACTAGTCCTAGCTCGACTCGCGATTCTAGTAGTCCTTAGAGGGGTTTCTCTAATTACGAAGATAGTAATGCTAAGATAGGTAGCTAATTAGGGAGATTCGTTTTTTTTTTTTAGTAGGCAGAGAGTTGTAATGTGTGTTTTCGATTTTGAAATAGGCTAGGTAGTCTAGATTAGTAAAAGCCTTATAGCATTAGAGAGTTTCTAACTCTTAAGGGCTAAGGTATTT